ATTTATATAATAGTAATTATCTAAAATTATATAAAGAAAACAAAAATCTATAATAATTATTCAAAATTAAATTAATCTGACTGAGAAGTCAATAAACTAAGCTAACAGAATTAATTAAATTTTATATTATTAATTAAATCTTACATTATTATTTGGAACAAGAATTACAATTTATAATATAATAAATAATTATTTTCAACAAAAATAACAATATTTATATTTATTTCAATTCAAGAATATTATTACTTTAAGTCTTATTATTCAAAAAAAACTTATAGAGAACAAGAAATTTGAATATTATATATATATTTTACTAAATATTGGAAAACTTTACCTTATCTTGGTTATATATGCAATAATTGCAATAAAATTAAAAAAATTATTATTTTTAAAAATTATATAAAAGATAAATTTCAGAACTGATTATATAATTTAATTAAATATAATTATTATTAATATAAGAATTATCTTGGATAATTATACAAAACATGTCTTATATATAATCCAAAAGAAGATTATATTATTGATATCATAGAAAAAACATAATATTAATATTATTAACTCAAACAAAAAAATAACTAAACCAATAATAAAAGAAAAAGTTCATGACAATAATTTTTTATCTCAGAATTGATCAAAGATCTCTTATAATAATTATTATTTTTTTTTATGACCAGTTACAAAGTAATAATGAAATAATAGTATTATTAGTATTTCATAATTATAATCAAATAGTAATAATACTGAGATAATATTTGAAACTTCATTTACTGATAAAATATCTTTTTGAAAACAAATGAAAAAAATATAAACAAGTTAGAAAAACAATAATAATAATTAATCAAAGAACTTGACAGTTATTTACACAAATATTAAACAATATCAACACTAAAAAAATATTCTTTTTATAAGTAATGCAAGTAGATAATTAAATATTATAAATATTAATCTTAAAATAAATAATTAATATCATTATTAGAAGATTCAATTATCAAACACATGTAAAATTAATAGAAAATCAAATAATTAAGCAAGTAATGTATTATTACAAATAATATATGCATTATTTAAAAGAAAAATAATAATCTATAAACACAATTATATATTACAAAAATGAAATTCAGGAAATATAATACAAAATGTAAAAATGCACATTATCACATGAAAATTGAATATAAAAATCAATACTTAATATGGAGTTAAAAAAGATAAAAATTTCTAACATTACAATTTTATTTCTAAATATTATAATATAGAATTTTTTTTAATTTCTTATAATTTAATTTATTATTATTTATATATACTATTTATAACACTTTAAAAATTCTTATAAAAATATCAAAAAAATATTAATTCTTTAGACAAAGAAATCAAAACTAACAATTTTATAAATTATTTAATATTATATTTTATAATTATAATTCTATAATATCACTATTTGACAAAATATGTACTCAAAATTCAAATATTAAATTAATTATAAATTCTTAAAGCTTTCAATTTATTAATATTAATAATAAAAATTAAGTTATAGAAAAAAATACTCAACAAACAATTCCAAAAGAAAAAGATGAAATTTACATAACTAATTTTGAACAAGAAATTATTAATAAATTATGAAAGCAAGTACTGGATTAAAAATATTATATTTATCAAAATTATCAACAAATACAAATATATTAATTAATTATAATAAATTATTTAGTTATACTTATTATTTAATCATATTTTTATATTATAAAATTAGAAAAATGTTAATTGAAATAATCACTAAAACTTGCATCCAGAGGATAATAAATTTTTAGATAATGTATAACAAATAAAAATATTAAATAATGAGTAGTATTATCATTTAAAATATATAATTACTTTAGAAATAACTCTTATTTTATTAATTACTAAGAATTTGATCAGATATTTTTCCAGGAAATATTAAAAAAATTAGTTACAAATCTTTAAAAATATATAAAAAATTTATTTAAGTTTGTTAATAGTATTTTACAAGTAATTATAAAAGACTTAGAAGTAGTATAATCAAACCCCTCTATAGTTATTACTCTCAGGAAAACAAATTTTGGTGAATATAACTATAAAAGAAATTTTTTTACTATATTTATATATAAATAGAAAAGCAAGATAAAGTGATTATAGAGAAGTATGACTATAAATAGATGTAACTATAAAGAAATTTGACTATATAACTTATTTATAATTTTATTTTATTTTACTTTATATTTTAATTTTACAAAGTAAAATTTTTAACTTCAAGAAATATAAATTTTAATATATCACATGATTTATTATAATTTATTCTGATTGAATAATTAATTTATAATTTATATATGATTTGTAAATTATATTTATATTTATTTTATATTATCTATATTTTACTTATATTATTTTATTCTATTTTTAATATATTTCATACTATTTCATTTTTATTTTATATTATTTCATTTTATTTTAATTATAATTTATACTAATTATATTTAATTTATATTATTATTAATAATATAAAAAATATATGTTAATTGATTATATAATCTAATTTAATTGATATTAATAATAAATAAAATATATATAATATTAGAGTGAGTAATGTATAATTATTAAGCAAATAAGTGAGCAATATATAATCATTAAGTGAGTGAGCAAATGAGCAAGTACTTTTTGTAATCATAATATCAATTAAAATAGTTTTAAACTTTGAAGATTGAGTAATAATAACTTATATAAATATAATATATATCTTAATTTAGAAAAATAATCTTTTATCAATTTAATTAATTTGATAATTAATCTTTTAATTATAATTTTTTTTTGACAAAATCTTCTTAAAAGTGAGTCATATTATAAATTTTGAGTTAAAAATTTTCAGTCAAATATTAATTATTCTTTTTCTTTCTTATTTGTATTCTTTTATTTTTAAAGATCTCTTATTTGTAATAAGTGATGTCTTTTATTTAATATAATTAATTACTCATTACTATTCTATAAAGTTAGTTAACATTATCTAAAAATCTAATAAAAGAGAAGATAGTTTTATTAAAAGTTAATTAATAAAAGAAGATTACTTAATAATAAATTATTTGAATTAAAAAAAGATTTCTGAACTCATTCTAGCTATTTAACAAAATGAATACTTCATTATCTATTTTTAGTAAATTAGTCTCTCTCAACTTTAAATATTTAAAAATCTTTAGTTAAATATAATAACTCTTTCACCCAATTAAAATATGTAAAGAATATATGATCTATATTTAAAAGATTATAAACTAATTGAAATAATAATGATATGAATTCATATTCAATTTATAAAATATTTATTGAGTTATATTCTTTTTAACTATCTAATAATATTAATATATTATTATTATTATTATTATTTATGACTAATATTTTTTTATTAATTCAAGATTTTAATCTTAAAAAATTATATATAAAATGACAGATAATAATTTTGAGAAAAAAAACTTGTGTAAATTGTAATATCTATTTTTTAACAAAATAAGACTTATTTGTTCCTATTGCATTATGTTATATCATATATATTATAATACAAGTATTATATTTAGCAAAGATTTATGATTTTTAACTAAGAGAAATACTAATATTTCTTTGATTTTGGATTTCTTTAATATTATTAATCTTTCAAATATAATAATTAATATTATACTATAGCATGAATTATATCAACGCATGAAATATCACTCTTAAAAAAAAGAAAAAACTGTTAACAGATGAATTAATTCATCTTTACACAGGATTACCAGTCTCTTAAAAAATTGACAAGTAGGAGTTTTTTGTTATAAGCTAATTTTGATTTGTTTTTAGAGTTTAGATTTTTGAATTCTAATATTATCAATATTTTATAATTGCTTTATGAATTAATATATACTTAGATAATAAATATATCTTTATAAGTTTATAAAAATAATAAACATAACTTTATTTTTTTTAATGAGAAAATGATTAATTACATGAATTTGATAAGCATTTATCTAGAGTTCTATATATTATTGATTCTTTTTATCTCTTTCTATTATAAATACAATAAATTATTTTATAGTGATTTATCAGTTTTAATTAATAATAAATTTAATAGGTAACCTGTTCATCTTTATTTTGAATAATTAATTTACATTGTTCTATTTCACCATAAGATGCACCAATTTTAATAGATTTTTCAGAATTTTGTTTTTTTATATTCTCCTTGACTTTATAATCCACAGATTTTTGATAAGCTTTAAGTCAGAATCCTTATCCTGTTGGAATCATCAATCATTATTCAATATTTGTCTATTCTCTGACACATATTTCAAAGTAAAAAATACCATCCATGATTTGCTGAAAGCAAAAAAAAAACTTGTCCTTACCATGTACACATAATTTACCCAAGACAAAAGATCTCAATCAGTTTCTCAGAATAAGACAGAATGGTCATGCACTCTTTTCAGCGTTGTTGTGTTCCTAAATAAATAAAAAGCGATTTCATAAGTAAAATATCATTCATTCCATTATCATCAAGATAGCATTGTGTCCATTCTACGCGCTTTTGTTTGTGTATATTGGTGTTGCGTTGGCAATACTTTTTCTAATAGTTTGTATTATAGGATTTCTTCGAATATATTGCCCAATAATCTTTAAACTTCTGGTATAATCTTAGAATGACCACTGTGCTATTGCTTAATAAATAGTTCTTTTTCAGAATGGTGTATTCATTCGTCTCACAAATGTCAAATTTTACTTTAACTAATACCCGATTCAGTGGCAAACTCCGGAAGGGAAGAAAGAGATCGGAGGGCAGATTGCGATCGGATGTCACATGATCTGCCCTTCCGATACATGTAAATTTTTATGACAGAAAAAATATTCAACATTTATTTTTAGTACCACCCTGCAAACATTCAAATATTATTATTATTATACCAAATGTTCGACGTGTCCGTATTCGCGTCTTTTTTATTTGTTTATCCGAATCTCTTCTCTATCTTGTAACGATGTCAAATATCGTTGAATCCGATGAATCAACTGTCGTAATCTTGAGATGGACGTGCTCCGGGTGTTGACAAGACTAGGTGTTCCGGCTAACCATAGTGGGTGAGTATTCTCACTAAGTACTTTGCTAGTTATATATCCTTGAAGTTACGCTGTCACTAGTCAATAGAATACTATAGAACTGGAAGCACATCGGGCCATCATAGAAGTCCCTAGTCAGGACCAGGGTGAACGCCCTTCTACTAGTATTCTATTTGACGAAAAGGTTCCGATAGGGCTGTGATGAATAGAGGATATAGATTGAATACTGAACCGACTATTCAGTTTTTAATCTTTATAATATTGGCAATTACTTAGTATTACTTCTTTATTTTAAGTAGACGTTATCCCGAAGATAATGGCATTGACGTATTTGGGCCCTATAAAAAATATATATTGGTGTTTCAATGCAAAATTACATTAGTGATCGAATTGGACGACGATATATTGCGGAGTTTATTGGTGTCTTAAACCAGTAAATATTTTCTGTTTATTATTATTATTATTATTATTATTTTTTTTTATTGCTGAAGTGTAGTTATTATTATTATTATTATTATTATTATTATTATTATTATTATTATTATAATATTAATTCAGCCGAGCTTTTGTAGATTTCCGGATAAACATACGATCGGCGTGTTTGTTACTTCGCTTTCGGACGGGTATACAGAAAGAGGTCGACTTTGGGCGGAAGGTTCCAATATTCCCATCCTTTTGACTTCCATTTGGGATTTGGAATAAGTTCTTTTAACCTCCCTTGGAATCCGTACGCTATTAATGAAGATGCCCTTCAGGAAATGATGGAAGAATCATTGAGATTGGCTTATCGTCAAGAAGATCGTACAAAGAACATTAACACAAACACATCAAGATGTGAAAGAACTATCTCCCTGGATATTCTGGATCTTTTGGATTTCAGTGGTGATC